TATATATATACTGATGCGTTCATCAAATTTGCAGAAAGAAAAATCTATCAAAAACTAAAAAAGAAGGTAAAGACTCATATCTGGAGAGAGAAATGAGATAAAAATGCTGGATGGGATTAGAGGTTAAATTGATTTGAATCAAGAAAAATGAGCTACATTCCTGACTGGAACTGGTTTCCCTTGTCAGGTGGATTAAAGGTGGATTTCTTGGAGCACCGAGAGCTTAGCTGTCAGAGCAATCCTCCATCAGAGGAAAGCATCATGCTTCAGTCTCCTGCACCGACCGTGGATGATGATGTTCTTGGGTAAAGATGCTGCAGAAGCCTGAATGAGCTCATGAATGTGAAAACATGCCTGGAATAAGAAGTGCAGGATTTGGTGTGAACAGGTGAAACAGAAATGGATCATGAAGCTGGCCAAGTTATTCAATATATGGAACTAAATTTAAAAAAAATCATATGTATAAATTTAAAATTTAGGAAATGGAGTGAAAAGAAGGAAGACAGCACAGACGTTTAGGAGAACACGAGGTAAAAAAACAAAAAATGCAAATTGATGAAAAGAAATATATTCTTGTTCCATGTGGGAGTACATTCTGTTGTAGAATCTTTGTTTTTCCTCTATTAAGTGATGTTGTACTTGAATTATAAAGATTATAATTTATTGTATATATCAAATATGACTTAAAAGAAATTTGACTTAATGATTTAACGCCTTGAAATTGGGCCTCTGTCTCTTTAAAATAAAAACACCTGCTCTTTCTGAGCAGGAAGTAATCACAACATGGCTCCTCTATTAACCCTTTGACAATGTTTTTATCACTGTTATAATGACAATTATCTCCTATAATGAGCTCAGCAGATGTGCAATTTCACCAGATATTCGCTAATTGCTGCTGGCTAGTCTGAAGGAGCTGAGTGGGAGAGTTGTAGGGGAGAGCTGCTCTGTGAGGTGGAAGCTCTGAAACTACAGGAGCTTCATCCTCGACCAAAGCATTTTGCACAGTTGAATGGTTGCCACGGAGATTAAAGGATTTTCAAACATGCATGAAAGAGTCAAGGCAACACTCCAGGTAGGTTTTTATTAGGTGATAACATTATAACATGATGTGAAGCTAAAAAAAAAAGTCAATTTTACATAATAACGTATTAGTAAAAACCAGTAAGCAAAATGTTGTCTGATGTCCTGTAACCAAGGCCTTGAATTCCAGGGTTCCTGTAATAACCACAGGTGAGTGAAATCCACCACCAACGGAGGCCGAATGTCTCTTCAAACCCTTTCAGAAAGATTGGGTCCGTCACCAGATCCAGTAAAGTCCTGCATCGTGTCAACTCTCCAAACATCTTGCAGCCTTCAGGTCAGCTCAGCATTTAAGATGCTTCACTGGCCTCCATGACAGAGCAGCTGCTCTCTGATGCAGCATGCTGACTGCAGACACTACAGCAGTGGCACCTTTTGGAGAGATGAATCACTCTCATGTCTTACGGTTTGATGGAAAAATCTGGGTTGGGCAGTTGCCAGGGGAACAGTCCAGGTGGAATTAGCATGAAATGAAGGCTGGATATCTAGAAACGCTTTACAAGGCCACAGTGATGGATGTTCTGTGATGCTGTGGGCAACCCTGGGAATCCAGTCAGAGTCCGTGGCATCATGAACTCTGAACCAGGAGGACGTTTTTAATAAACACCTGGATGTTTGATGATCCAAAATGAATGTCCAAATAAAGACAGAAATTCTTCAGCATTTTCTTCTTCTACTCCCATCTCTCATCTCTGTCAAACCTAAACCTAATAGAAAGGAACAAAGATGATCTGAATGGACCAGGACTTCCTGAAAACATGATTTTTGCTTCATTTGCAGCTAAACTCTGGTGATGTTTGCTTACTGTGGAAAAGAAAATGTAATATTTTCTGTAGCGTTTCATTGTAACTGTTTGACATTTGTTCGTTTTTGAAAGTTCAGTGAAAATGTGAACTGAAACAACATGATTTTGTGAATTTCTTTAGTACTTCCTGCCAAATCGAATCGCTTGGATGAAGTGGTTTTATGGCTGCATCAAAATTAGCATATTTTCCAAAACTGCAATGGAATCACTTTTTTGCATCACGAGTCACATAATCAACAACCGGATGTTACTACTGGTGGATGGAAACGACAAAGAAGATGACAGGAAGTGGTAGGAAGATGATGGTCTAATGTTTTTTTTCAGCAACATACTGCTGTTATTTTAATTGTGCCTCTTATTTAATGTAAACATCACAATCGGATTGTTGGAGTTTTTGACATTCACGGAATATCAACTAAGTTTTCCATAGTGGAAATGCAATGATTCAGATTCGCCATTCTGAGTAAAAGCACTTAAATTAAAGGTTGGATTTTACTGAACTATAAAAAGATTATTCTAATCAAATGAAAGATGCTTTTTACACCGTAAGGGGTCAAACATTTCAGTTGGTTCTTCTACTTTAATCTCTTTAACGTTTCTAAAGGTGATGAACTGCAGTTATTAATCCATCCTGTACTTTCTGGTAAACCTGGTGGTGATTTATTTCCTGGGAGGATTTATCGTCAGCAGTACATCCTGGACACCACAAGCTGCCGTGGCAACAGACTCGGTGACCTTCCAGTGACACAGCGCAGCGACCTCCGACCTGGTCGCTGTGACATCACCCAAACTCCTTCATCCTCAGCAGAACAATAACCACTCTCATGAGCAACGTGTTATGCATGTTGTTTTATTGTACACTGGATCTATAAAAATCTAATCTTTCTGCGCAGTTCTAATGATTCCAAAAAATACATGATTCAAAATCCAAAAATACATGATTGCAACTGGGAAAATAAAGTTATATTTCTTAAGTTATTGGGAACTAAAGGCAGCTCCAACATAAACATTTCTAATAATGCACTGTGATTATTCTTACAGTATGCATTAAATAATGATTCATGACTGCAAACTCAGATAAGTTTTCATTCATGAAACGCCACTTTAAGCTGAATATTTCTTTAGGATTTTATAATCATATAATACTATGACTATACATTCTTCTGTACAGATAAATACAAAAGGCTCATCTATTTACAGTATTTATCAGTCTGTTGATGCAGTCAGAGCCCTGTCCTCCATTCTCTGCTGCACAATTCAGGGATTTTACAGGCACTCCATGATTTAACTGATACTAAATTACCTTTAACTCTTATCTTAAAACTCTAATTCTGGTATTTACTTATGTACAACAAACTGTATAGATTTCTCTAGCTCCAAATAAATGATGTGTTAGAATAATAACTAACAGTATTACTGGTGTTACTAATGACATTAGCAATGAAGTGATAATAGAAATACACATGGCACCTACTGACTTGGCAAAAAGCTTCTCAACAAATGGCTCGGCTGCATGTTAGGTTAAACCACCTGTCAGCAACAGGGGGCAGCAAAAGCTCACCAACACAACAATCTGTGCAGAGAAACAGACACAAGTTGAAATAGCCCTCCTGTCCCATGCCTGGTGTATGTTAGGCTTACAGTACAGCTGCCAGGGTCGGTAAGGTGCATTTCTGAGTTACAAAAAACAATTCACATGACGGATAAACACACACACACAGACACACACACACGCAGGAAAAATCCATTGATCTTTTAGAAATGCTGAGTTAATTTTTCCTGCTTTTATCCCGTTTGTTGAAAGACAAAACCTGAATGTTAGCGTCTGCACTAACACGGCTCTGTTTGGGAAAAGCAAAATTCAGTTTCTTTGCATATAAGATCAAATAACTCAAACACAAAAGCTGTGAAAATAAAAATCCCATCATGCTACCTTCCAACTGTGACTGATCACGTTTGAGCCTTAAAAGTTCTTCTTTAGTCCCAGAAGAGCAGACAGTGTCCAGTACAGGTGACCCGTTCTGCCATCCATCTGTTCCAGTCAGAAAGTACATGGAGTTTTCTTTTGTCTTTATCTGTTTAATACAATGTTTCCCACTGTGTGATAACTTCCATAAACGCTACATGGGGCAAAGTGTCTTAACAGAGAAGCTGGTTGCTGAAATGACAAAATTCTTAATTTGTTTCCACTTTTACCTCCAGAATAACAGAAGTGGAGAAGCCAAGCAGCTTTTCATGAACAATAACAGATGTTTGTTCTCTCTGCTTCTTACGATTTATCTAATGAAATTTATTAGTTATTCCAGTAAAACTTGTTTTGTTTTTTCCTTTTTTTAACCAAATGAAACTTTGTGCAGATACAATGTGGAGCTAACAAAACAGATTCAGTAAGAGATTAGTTTTAAAGCTGCACATTGGAACTTTTATTTAACAAAATGTTTTTTTTTTACTTATTTGTTAAAACGGTCACCATGTCTGGACAGCAGAATATGAAACAGATACTCTGTGAAAAGATCAATCACCTTCTCCTCCTCTCTGAGCTGCTGCTGCACCGAAAACAACCAATCAGAGCCAGGGGGAGGGTCTTAGTGCTGCCAATCATCCTCTTGTACGTGCTGCTAAATTTGCGAAACAACTCACCATTACAGGAAAACCGTCGTCATCAGTAGCCATGCTAATTAGCCTTAGCATTCATGACAGGCTGCCTTAACAGGGCGACGCAGAGAGCAAGGGGAGGTAAGTGGGTGGTGCACACATGGGCATGATTGACAACACTAAGACTCAACCTGATTGGTGGTTTCTAGCACTGGGAGACGGCAAAGGAGACAGATGTTTTCTGTTATCTGTCTCATAGCATACTGTCACAACAAACTGACAGTTTCAACAAATACACCGCAGTTTTAACTAGCAACAAAAACCAAAAGTCCATCTTTATCATTTCACCTCCACTTTTTGCCTCCTAGCTTTAAAAAATACAGCGCAGAGTTTAAAGTCAGGTCCAGGGTCTCCCACGTTCAGGCCGGCCTGCATTCCATCATCTTCTTAAACGCTTTTGTGAAGCTGTCGTCCAGGAAGGCGTACAGGAACGGGTTGAGACAGGAGTTGGCGTAGCTCAGGCTGGTTATGAAGTAGGAGATCCCGATCACCAGAGGCGTGCTGCTCAGGTCCGTCGTCAGAACCACGATGGTGCTCAGGTGGTACGGCGTCCAGCAGAACAAGCACACGGCCACCACGATGAAGACCATGATGGTGACCTTCTTCTTCGCCTTGTCCAGAGCCTTGGCGTTGCTGTTCAGCCTCATGTTCCGCAACTTGTAGAGCATCATGGTGTACAAAATGCAGATGGTTGAGACAGGAATGGCGAAGCCCAGGATGAGCGTGTAGATCCGGCTCATTTTGACCCACAGAGCCTCCGGCATCGGCAGGAGCAGCACGCAGCTCTTCCTGCCGTCGTGTGGATTCACGTAGACGCCGGCGAAAACGGTGAAGGGCATGACGATGAAGATGACGAGAAGCCAGACGCAAAACGAGATGATTTTGGCCGCTCTGTAGGTGCGGTACGGCATGCGCTTGGAACTGACCGTTGCCCAGACAACCAGATAGCGATCGATGCTCATAACCGTCAGGAAGTAGATGCTGGAGAATATGTTGTAGTGGTCAATGCTGAGGATGACTTTGCACAAAACTTCACCAAACGGCCAGTAGTTCAGCAGATGGTCAGCTATGCTGATCGGCAACACCAGGGTGAACAAGTCGTCTGCAATGGCCAAGTTCAGGATGAACATGTTGGTGACCGTCTTCATCTTCGGAGCTTTGAGGATGACGTATATGACAGCCATGTTGCCCGTCAGTCCCACGGCGCAGATGACAGAGTAGATGATTGGCAGGATGATGTAGAGGTCGGCGTTGAAGTACGGGATGATGCAGTTCAGGTCGGAGCTGTTCCCCGACGGGTCCACCGAGTCGTTGCAAACCGGCAGCTCACCTCTTAGATGGGTCACGTTTTCCATCATGTTTCCACGGATGTACGAGTTCAGATCAAGGTGTTTTCACTGGCAACATTTTCAAAAGGAAAAAATATTTTTAAAAAGTAGAGTTGAATTAAAGCTCGGTTTCTAACATCTTCCCTCATCAGTCAGGGGGGAGCCTGAGTTGTAAGGCAGGAGAAAAGGTCAGGCTGATGGAGGATCAGCGCTTATTTCATCACAAGTGATCCTCTGCTTAATTTACTGGCAGCAATTTCACATCTTTTCATCTCAGAACCCAACAACTTGCGTTCTTACCTCCCTCTTGACTTAAAAAATACACAGACTTCACTCCAGAAGACTTCTCTGAAAATGGAAATGAGGGCTCTTGGTGCTAAAGCTCTCCAAACACAGTACTGTGGTTGCTGTTTACTTTACAGTCCTTTAGTCTTTATGTTCCCTTGATCTTCGCTTTTATTTGTTATTTTAAAAAATGAAAAATGACTTTTTGTAATAGGAGATGCCTCTCTGGTCCTAATCAGAGACAGGTGTCCTCCAGCCTCTGTTCCTGTCCTCCCTCGATGTTAGACACTGAAAATCTGATTTTTAGCTGCAGAGCTCGGGTCCGTTTGGCTTTACGCTGTTTTCATTCTGTCTGTAAAACGCTCTGGAGAGGTTGCCAGTGTGCGTTACGCATGAGTGGCGCATCGAGTAACCTAACAGGAGGGAGATGTGGACAGGAATTAGTTGCCAGAAATGGGAAGAGATACAATTAACCAGAGTCAACAACGAGAACTAGTATGATGACAAACTGTGGAAATAGATTTTAAAGGTACAGATTTGGACCAAAACCACATTTTAACCGGACAAATCAGGACAGAGTGCGGAATATTTTAAATATGACCTTTCCCGATTAAAACACGCCATTTCTCCTTCAATACGCTTCATAAGATAATATAGCTAAATGAAGTTTTCTTTCTTAAATATATCCGTTCAATAAAAACAGGCAAAAAATCATGCAAATAAAAACCTCCCTGTTGAGAAGGTCGGATTTCTAAAGTTTAATAAAGGACGTCGCTGCATCCTATTTGGAAAAAAAAAAGTGTGAGAATCAGGTAAAACTGAACGGTGAAGTAAATGGAGGTGAGTTTACCGCTGTGTGAGCCGCCGGTGGAGTCCCTCTGTCGGGTCTGGAGGCGCGCTCCGCTCTCCGCCGCGCCGCGCCGCGCCGCGCCGCTCTCCCTCTCTGCCGACGCGCTCCTGGAAGGCAGCGCCTCCGGCTGACGTCATTTCGAGATCCCCGTGTCAATCATGTGGATCTCCATCTGCCCGGTCGAACCTGTCTGCCTCCACGGTGTCCTGCGCAGGTCAAAGAGGGTTTTTTCTCTCTTCTTTCTCTGCCGGGTTCAGCCTCTGACTGGAGGATCTGCAGGCTGCACTGATCATCAGGCTCCCCATTCCTCAGGACACACATGGTGGGACAGCGTATCAGGGCTGCTGTAGGCAGAAAGCATGTAGAACTGCATTTTTGCCAAAAATTAAAAAAATCTGAGCTTCAAAATGGACAATTTGCAAGAAAAATATCTCAGAAATCTTTATGTTAAACTCAGAAAATTTCCGGAAAAAACAGAAATTTCTGAGCTCCAAAACAAACAAAAAAAATCTGCAAGAAAAAAAAAAAAAAAAAACTCAGAAAATATGAGATTAATCTCAGAGATGTTCTAGAAAAAAGAAGAAAGAGTCTGAGATCCAGAAATGTTGACTTCTGAAACTGAAAATCCTGCTTCTGGTGAGTTTCCCTCCTAATACCACAGCTGCCCATGTTAGCAACCAACACAGGAAGCAGCTGCTCCTCCACATGGAGAGGAGCCAGTTGAGGTGGTTTCTGCTTAGGATGCCTCCTGAACCCAGCCCTCCTCCCTGGTGAGGTGTTCTGGTCTCGTCCCACCAGGAGGACACCCAGGACATCCAGGACACCCAGGAC